ACATGGGTAGTAAGGGCACTTTAGGATTGAAATTAAGGGTTTCCTGCCCCCAAAGCTTCAAATTTTGCAATAGATGGGGCCAGCAGTTGGCATGGTGTTAAGGGCATTGGACTCCCACAGAGTCGAACACGGTCTGAGTCCCGGACCTGGCGGCTCACTTTCTCACATTCCCTCTCTCTCCCCCTCACTCTGTCCCTCTCTAGTCAAATTAAAAAAAAAAAAATCAAAGATTCAAAAAAACTTTATTTTACAGTAGAACTCTAGTTCCATCCATTTTATATACACATATGTGTGTGCATATACATGTGTGTATATAGATATATAGATATGTCAGAAAAAACATGAGAAGAAATAACTCCCAAAGACTAGATTCTACTACTGCATTTAATTACCCATTGTTGAGACGGCTATGAATGTAGGAATGCTGGGGCTGTCGTGGCTAAAACTGGTGACACTACAGTTGTAGGCCGTGGCAGGAAGGAGGCTGGAGATGGTCACAACATGAGAAGAAACAGCAACTGGTTCCTGGAGATGTAGAAAATAAGACATGGTTCATGTTATTTTCCTCTTTTGTTTTTGTTTTCGTTTTTGGAGAGGTTTTTACTATAGGGCACATGTGCTCACCGGAAAGACAGAGACAGATAGAGAGAAAGCAAGAAATCACCCCCTGGGGGGATGGCCATGCTGCAATCCCTTCTCCTCCATTCTCTCGGGATCTTGGGCATGCACGCACACGTGCCCGGCGTGAGTTTAAGCCCCCTGGTCTGGGACTCGAACTGTTGGTCGGCTACATGGGAGTTCAGCGACATAGCCATTACGCTAACTGCTGGTCCCTATTTTGTTCTGAAAATTAGTTTTCACAGTTGAGTAGGTAGTATGTTGGCTGAGTAAGAAATTTGCAAGGTTAAAAAGGAGAGCAGTGAAAAATGTTTCCTTCTCTCCCTGGTCCCCATCTACCCAATTCTCTTCTATAAAAGCAGCCCTTGTTGTCAGCTATTTTCTGTCTTCCCTTATATATTTTATGGATGTATAGACATATGAGACATGGTTAAAAAAACATAAATGAGGACAGAGTTTACATTGTTCTGCTTATTATTTAACTTTAATTATTAATATATATTAAAATTCTTTCCATATCAGTACCAATTAAGCTATTTTATATCTTTGAAGAGCTACATAGAAAGCCATGGGAAGGACATACTTTATGTAACTAGCCTCCTCTAACACACACATAAATTTATATATACATATATACTATGTACGTATATTAGAGATGTATATATATTTATATATGTATATATATTTTATATATGTATATATTTTTACTATCATGAACAATGCTATAGTGAACATCTATCCAAATTAAAACATAATTTTGACATGAAATATTTGTTTTTGAGTCATTGGTTTTTACCTTTTGACTCATAGTAGTTGTTTATTTTTTAAGAACACTACCCCTTTGTCTGCATTTTCAATTTTTATGTAGTATTCACCAAAGGCATGGTGATTTGTATGCTCAGAAACACTTCATATTAATCCATTCTTAACTACAAAACTTGCTAATTTGGTGGGCAAATGGCCAGACTAGTGACAAGGAATACTGTACAACATAAAAAGAAGAGCCATTTCTTTCAAAATAACACTCTAGGAACCAGCAGTTAGCATAATGGCTATGTCACTGGACTCCCACGTAGTCGACTGCGGTTCGAGTCCTGGACCCGGTGGCTTAAACTCATGCCGGGCGCGTGTGCGTGTGTGCCCAAGATCCCGAGAGGAGAATGGAGGAGAAGGGATTGAGGCATGACCATCCCACCTGGGGGGTGATTTCTCGCTTTCTGTCTCTCTGTCTCTGTCTTTCTGGCGAGCGCACACGCCCTATAGCAAAAACTTCTCCAAAAAGAGAGAAAAAAATAACACTCTATAACACCCCTAAAGAGATGAACAATATCAGCATTTTCCCACTCCCTCCTCAGTCACTATTTCACAAAAGAATGATTCTAAGAGAAGACTTTCGCTAACAGAACTCCGTTACAGAAAACAGCTAACTAACCCTTGTGTTCTTAAAGGGCAACATCACTGTAGTTACAAAGAAGAAAATCCATTACAGGTAGACCAGTTATTATCAAAAGGATTCTTACGATAAAGATTCAGCTGTTCAGTACAGATCAAAAAGAATTAAGTTGGAGAAAGAGTATCAAAAGGAGAAAGGAATCAAAGCAAATGATCTTAGCATTCGTTATGAAAAGATTTATACTCCCAGCCATCCTTTTTTACTTCTCGATCTCATGACCTTCATTATTTAAAAAGCATCAATTATTCATATTCATAGTATGTCTATATACTGAATTATACTCACAAACCTGCCCTTTTCCTTCCACTTCCAGCTATAATTTTTTTTTTCTTATGGCTTTCCAACTCCTAGAGCAGCAAATTCATCTCTCTCTCTCTCTCATTTCTACCTGGTGAGCAACTATGTATCAGATCTACTATCTGTGATTCTAAAGCTTTAGTGATAACCTTCTTCCAGGCTCCATTTTCCAACAGAAATGAATTGTTTACCTTACTAGTTGGATAGGCATGTTTCTTTTAAGTTCTCTTAGTAATATGACTCACTCCTGAGCTTATTATTTTACTCTGCTTGGTTTTTATACTCAAGTAATATATCATAACTAAATACACATTTTTTGAAGTTGTGTATTGGTGTTATCATTTTTGTTCTACACAGTGCCTTTCAAATAATTGAATCATATTTGTTAAATTATTATTTATATCATAGGACCTTTATTCTTTTAATTTAATGGCCAATAAGAAAAATAAACTTACGCCTTTATTCCTTCCTATGACTTGGAGTAGATAAGGACTAAGGACAAAAGATAAATACAAAAACAGAAGTTCAAATACCATCTTTTGGGCTTGTAAGCATAATGTTAATTTCCATCACAAATGGATAGTTTTCATGAACAAATGGATAGTTTTCATTTTCTAGAGTTCAAAGAAACGAGATTTCCATCTCGTTCAGATAGTTACCCTTAGTCAAAATGAACTCAGAAGGAAAATAAAAACATAGAGTACCTGAAGTTTGGTTTCTTGCCTGGAGCCAACTTGTTGGCAGAAAACTTCGAAGAAATCAGCTACTCCTTCTTCCACCCACAGCAAAGTCACTGAAGTTTGGGTTTTGTTCACTGCGAAGAGTGATTTGGGAGGAGCTGGTTCTAAGAAAAAAATAGTTTTCAAATCAAATGTGTTCTTCTTTTACTAATAAGTAGGTAAAACATCCTTCCAATCCAAAGAGAGCTAGTTAAGAGCACCATAGAGATGTTATATTACTTTTGAAATACGTCCTTTCACAAAGATAGCCATCTAACTTGGAGGCAGAATATTTTGCTTCCCCCTCCTTCCAATTTATACTTCTCGTTTTGGAGCACTTCTGTTTTCTACTTCAGCTTTATTATAGACATACTCTATTAATAGTGTTGTGTCAACTGTACTGGATTTTTGCATTGTCCTGATATGAAAGAACTTTGAGAAAGAAACAAAAACCTGCACTTAAAGAAAAAAAAAAAAAAGGCTGAGAAAAATGAACCTGGTGTTCTGTCTTCTCATGGACAGATTCTGTTTGGTATTTGGCTGACAAACAGTCTTCCTCACTCTGGAGACTATTTAGAATCATTCATTCAGAGCAATGGCTTCTTGAAAATTTAGTCACAATGAAGAGGGATAAAGCTAAACAGATGATTTTTTTTTTATTGAACGAAATTATTTATGGAAGAAGATAGATTAATAAATTGCTAGAGATAAATTCTGTATCTTAGACATTTTATCTTCATCAGTAAATGAATCCATTAGTCAGGGCTGTCTGTGCCCCTTCATGTACATTTCCAGTAATTGAGCCACTGACTGATGGCTTGAGACCAAACCCCTGTTGCCTCAGTTTTAAAAAGTGGGATGCTGCCTCATTCCCCATTCCTGAATCTCTCCTAGACTGCCTACGATCCCATCCGTCGAATGATGCTTTTTCCTCTAGTTCCTCTAGTATGTGAAGTGCTGTGCCCAAACTCAGATTTTAGTTGGAATTCCTCTTACCTTCATTCTTTTTTAAGAGAAATTTTTGTTGTAAGGTGCATACACTTGCTAGAGAGATAAAAGAGAAAGACAGAAAGAGAGAAATCACCCCCTGTGGGGATGGCCATGCTACAATCCCTTCTCCTCCACTCTCCTCTCAGGATTTTGGGCACACACACCTGGCATGAATTTCAAGTTACCAGTCTGGGACTTGAACCGTAGTTGACTACATAGGAGTCCAGTGACAACCATTATACCATCTGCTGGCCCCAGGAATTGCTTTTACCTTCTGTCAGACCTCCATAACACTGCTTGTTGAGCATTTTATATATCCACAGATACAGCATATTATGTGTCCATATGTATTTATGTGCCCCCTTGACACTGGAAATATTCCATCCTGCTGCCAGGTTCACATGACGGCATACCCTGCCATCTGGATATCCCTGCCGGAGACTACCCACTGGTGTGCTCTCCCACTGCTTGTCACTGAGATTTTGTTCATTTTCTGCCCACCTCTCCCTAGGTGTATCTCTGGTTCTCGGCTTTTAGCAGTGCCTGACAAAGTCCTATAGGCTGTTTCACTCCTTTGACAGGTGTATGTCTTTCTGTGGGAAGGTTTGTACCTTCTTTCTAACGTATCATGGTGGCCTGCCAGAACCAAGATGTCAAGATCACTTGGGTATAGGTAATTTTTCCTCAGAAAAATCTTCAAAGGTCTAGGACATCTCACAACCATGTAACACTTCTTTCTTTTCAGGTGAGAAATCATGGCAACTGATTATTACAAGCTCACTGCATCCAACATTGCTGTATGTTTTTTTCCAGAAAATATGCGAATATCATTTTAGTAGGTCAATGAGTAACATACACAAAGCCAAATTGGCTTGACTATGTATAATCGCTGTGATAGGTGAATTTCCCTCAATAAACCAGATTCTTGACTCCAGAGTGTCTAAAGAAACAAAGTTTCATAAGTCAAGGTCTAGTTGAATAATTAAATTTCAGTCCTCAAGACAAAAATCTGTTTCAGGGCATTTACTACTGATAAAATATAAGAACTATATTATCTGACAAGACCACTAACCACAGGTAGTGACTGAACCCTTGAAAGCTCCTAGTCCAGATTGAGAAATGCTTGTGAATGTAAAATACAGATTGACTTTGAAGACTTATTATGAAGGGACCAGCAGTTAGCATAATGGCTATGTTGCTGGACTCCCATGTAGTTGATGGCAGTTCGAGTCCTGGACCTGGTGGCTTAAACTCACGCCAGGCACGTGTGCATGTGTGCCCAAGATCCTGAGAGGAGGATGGAGGAGAAGGGACTGTGGCATGGCCAATCCCCCCTATGGGGTGATTTCTCACTTTCTGTCTCTCTGTCTTTCTGGTACCCAATAGCAAAAAACCTCTCCAAAAAAAGAAGATTTATAATGAAAAAAAAATTCTGTATATTGGTTATACATTAGAATGATGGTACTTTGAATATTTGGATAAAGTATATAACAGCTAATTTCATTGCTTTCTTTTTACTATTTTTTAAGATTGTGCTAGAAAATGTAAAATGACTTCTGTTGCTCTCATATTGTGTATCAGCTGGATAGTGCTGGGTTAGAGTATTCCTCCCCACTGCAGTCTGAACACTCTCAGCAGAAGCTGGTGTGAGGGCTGGGGCTGGCACTTCTGCTGTCCGTCTCCTCTTCATGAGACACAGATCGGCTCAGCTCTGCATTCTGGAGAGTTTAGATAATTTACGTTTCCCATCCTCAGGCATTGGATCAAAGTAGGTAACAGCTAGACGCTATTTATGATAGAGTCACATAAAGGCATTTTGACTGGTCTCTTGTCTCTGTAGGAGATGAATTTTGTATCCTGAAATTTGTATGTTGAAGCCAGAACCCTCAGTTCATGAGATTGTGGCTGTATTTGGAGTTAGAACTTTCAAGAAATAAACAAGTTAAAATGAGGCTATTAAGATCAGTAGGTGGAGTGGTGGTTAAGATGCTGGATCCCACATAGCTGACTGAATTTGAGTCCCAGACCCGGTGGCTTGAAAAACACACTGGGGATGTGTACAAATGCATGCATGTCCAAAATCCCAAGAAAAGAATAGGGATGAAGGGATTATGGTGTGGCCATCCAACCGGGGGATGATTTTCTTTCTCTCTCTGTTTCTATTTCACAGGTGCATGTGCCCTACAGAAAAAAAAAATCATAAATAAAAGAAGCTGTTAGAGTGGGCCCTGATCCAGCCTGACTGGTTTCTTTGTAAAAAGAGAAAATCTGGACACACCAAAGAGATGACAGAGAAAAGATCATGTGAGGATAGAAAGCAGACATCTGGACGCCACCTTGCTTATATCTTGAACTCGGACTTTTAGCTTCCAGAATTATGGGGAAAAAATATTCTGTAGCATAAGCCAATCAGTGTGTAATATTTTGTTATGACAGCCCTAGCAAACTCATATAATCTTTTCCTATTTAAAGTATCAAATATGGTCTAGCTAATAAAGGAGAATAGGAAAAAGCCAATCACATTCTGAAGGGTAAGAGAGTTAAGGCAAAGATTGCAAATACCTTATACAATGTAAAGTCATGTAAATCCTGGTTATAGTACAGGTCCTAGTTATCACTTTTTATCTAAGTGACATTTTACGTCTTAACTTCTTCAATTATTTTCATGCTCCGAAATATCAAATTTCCTAGTGTTTAAAATCATTTCAACATCCATGCTATGAGTACATAGGTAAAGAGAATAGATACACTATTTTAATAAAACAAGGTGTAGATATAGAGAGGTTTGCTTTTACAGACTCTCTATAACCTGTTTGACATTGTGGGTGTTACGCTCAATTTTACAATTCTCCTCCCTTTTCTCTCCTCCCCGTTGATGCCTCTCCAGGTTTGAGCTGAGAAACCAATCTAATTTTACAGGAAAATCAAGTACCATGCACAGAACATGGCAGAATGGAAGGCTGTAATGCTATCTCTACCATTTAATTTAGATTGGATTAAGAAAGGCTCAAGCTGTTGCCTAGGGTCTCCAGGGACTGAAAGTGACCTTGAGTGAAGTAGGAGCTGGCATCTAATTCTTCATTCTTGTGCTCTAGCAGCAAATTTCTTCCTTTTCTCAAGAATTCCAAAGGGAACAGTCAGGTATAATATTTAGCCTTGGAGCAGAATATAATGTGATTATCTAAAATCCATCTTTTCCCTCAGTTATTATATCGTTTCTTCTTGTGAGCCAATCATTGGGTGGCCATAAGATCCAGCGAGTCTCTCTCTGTTTATATGTTATACCTTTAGGTGTGGTCAATCATTTTACAAATGAGTGACATTAAGAATTCACTAGAAAAACATTGTAAAAATTATATTATCCCATGATCGACATGATAAAATAGATTTTCCATTTATAGCCTCACTAACAGAAATGTTCTAGTATCCTCTTTTATACACAGAGATGGTCTTTAACGTCTATGTCCTAGCAAGTATTTTTTAAAAATCCATTTTTATTTTTCCCAACTCAAGCATTTCTACCTTCTATAAGTTACATAACTTCCACTTAACTTTTCCAAACAATACATCCGTAATTAAAGCAGTGTAGGCTGAATAAATCATGTTGAAGTTGGCAAAAAAAAAAAAAAGAAAGAAAAATCTGCAAAAGAAAGCACTATTTGCAAGGAAGAAAACAAAAGCAAGAGATAGAGAACACATTTAGGGCGAGTTCATACTGCTGCACAGTGAAATGGAGGGGAATATTTATACGAAATCATGGAAGCCTTTGTTAGGCCTGATATTTGTTGGGACCTATTCTCACTGGCACAGGGAGATTCTTTTCCTGGATGTACTTAATCAGTAATTTGAACATTTTGGTAGATATCCATAAATGTAAATCATTAAAAATAATATTAGAAAAAGCTTTTTTTAAAAAATCAGGCAAATATTTGACCTCTGCATTAAATTCTAATTAGGCTTTTTTGGGCAAAGTATAAAATTTTCTCAGGAATTAGAAATACCTATCATTTTCATTACTTTTCAAATATTTTCTTTATGACTTAATGATAGCAAATGTAACATAATAGTCTTCCCTTATAAATGTTTCATTTTCCATGGGTTCAGTTACCCACTATCCAGTATGATATTCTGAGTG